AAAAATTTGCTTTTTTTAAAAAAAAGGACTTGAGGGGCCGGCGCTGTGGTGTAGTGGGTAAAGCCACCGCCTGCAGTGCCAGCATCTCATATGGATGCTGGTTCAAGGCCCGGATGCTCCACTTCCAGTCCAGCTCTCTGCTATGGCCTGGGAAAGCAGTAGAAGATGGCCCAAGTGCTTGGGCCTCTGCACCCGAGTGGGAATACCCAGAGGAAGCTCCTGGCTCCTGGCTTCAGATGGGTGCAGCTCCAGCCATTGTGGCCAACTGGGGAGTGAACCAATGGATTGAAGACCTCTCTCTCTCTGCCTCTTCTCTCTCTGTGTAACTCTTTCAAATAAATAATCTTAAAAAAATAAAAAAAATAAACCAGAAAAAGGACTTGAGAAGCCCTTAGCAGAAATGAGGATGGTTTTCACATTTTGAGGTAGTGTGGCACATGGTGGCCAAGTGCACAGCCCTGAGGGCCACGACCCCACCACTCACTATCTGGGACTTTGAGAAGCGACCTGATCTCATCAAGGGTGGCATCCCTCATCTGTGAGAGGGGAATAATAACCATACCCAGCCTCAGTACTGCCGTGAGTACCCATATAATCCACATCCGGCTCTCAGCAGTGGTAGGCATGTGGGACACGACCCCTGCTGGCTAGTATTGCCGCCAAGTGTTCCTGGGGAGCTGGGGACCACTTTACACACATTGCTGCATTTAGTCCTTTTACTCATGCTAGGTTAGGGTCCTTATCCTTTTAATGGATGAGAAACAAAAGCGAGCAGAGGTTAAACATAGTGTCCGAGGCGACCCAGCCTGCAGAAGTGGCTCCAGGAGTCTAACCTGGGTCTGATTCTCCAGCAGCAGTTCTGAACCACGCTGCCCAAACATGTGTTTCAGGCCAGAACTGAATGCTACCAGTTTATTCAATAACCTGAAATCTGCTGGAAAACAAAAACGCACATCTCTACCTCATTTGCTTTTTAAAACTGCATGCTATGCGCGGTGCAACGGCCGCAGCGCGTCAGCCGTGGCGGCCATTGGAGGGTGAACCAATGGCAAAAAGGAAGACCTTTCTCTCTGTCTCTCTCTCTCGCTATCCACTCTGCCTGTCAAAAAACAAACAAACAAACAAACAAAAACCAAAAAACAAAACTACATGCTGTGAAGTGTAGCTACATAAAATAAGGGTCTACTATGGCCCTCTCTTTCCAAAGAAAACGCTCCCCATGTGGGCAGGAGTTGCTGAGTCGTGGAACCCACGAAAAGCCTCACCTCTGTTTGGGGCTGCAGGTCCTGAGGCAGCAGATTTCTCCTCCACGTATCTGTTTAAGTCTGGCACCGTCTGGGATAGCGTCAACTTTTCTACAACCCTCCTAAACAGGCTGACGACATAAAGTTGTGCCTTTGAGCTGTACAGCACTCCTGGCCTCAAGTCACCAATCCCACCCATGCTGTTTCACCCCTGGGGAAGATCTGAGCACCATTCCTTTTCCCAGAGGGCTCATGGGGTACCACTGGTGGCTTTACTGGGTGCTGATTGCTGTCATCACCAAGCCCAGCACCCTTACTACACGGGGGACCTAGGCTCCGAGGTCCTCACGGAGCTGCTTGCCACTTGAGGCTGCTCGAGTCTCCTTGTCCTTCCTCTGTCCTGTCGCCATCACAGGAGAAATGTGACTTTCGTCTATCCCAGAGGAATGTCTTTCCCCAGTGATGTCTAAGAACATGAAACGTCCGTTTGAGAAAAAGCACCTTGGAGTCATCGCTGACATGTGTGTTTGCAGTTTTCATCAAGCCTGAGTGATGCAGCTAAAAGGCTTGGCTCTTTGTGTAGGGTTCACTCCTTCTAAGACACCTGAACTTTTCCCTGGAAGGAGTCGAGCAAGCAAAAGGACTTCCATCAGCCTGTATATATTTCCATACTTCACTGGTCAATGTCAGAAAGATTGACTTTTACTGGAATCATTTCCAAAGTTAATTTTCTTAGAGCGTTAACACCGGGTACATTTATTCTGACCCTAGTTAATACTGTCTTCTGACATGACTTTTGTTTTTGAAAAATTGTCCCTTTTAGTTCCATTCTGGTCTGTTTAAAAAAATAAAATGGGGATTGCCATTGTGGCATCGTGAGTCAGGCCACCACCTCTGATGCCAGCATCCCACAGGGGCACATGTTCAAATCCTGGCTGCTCCATTTCCAGTCCAGCTCCCTCCAAGTGCCTGGGAAAGCAGAAGAAATGGCATAAGTCCTTAGGCCCCTGCACCCCTGTGGGAGGCTTGGATGAAGCTCCTCGCTCCTGGTTTCAGCCTGGCTCAGCCCTAGCTACTGTGGCCATTTGGGGAGTGAACCAGAGGATGGAAGGTCTCTTTCTGTCTCTCCCTTTCGATAACTCTTTTTTTTTTTTTTTAATACTAACCAGGTTTGTACTGCTGCTGCACTGGCTGGAGCTGAAGAAACAAACCAGGTGACCTGCAGGTAATAAATGCCCTATGCCAGTAAGAGGTGCCTCCCATGAGCCCTCAGAGACACACTCTGAGGCCCAGAGAGCTGGGGCACAAGGTGTTTGGCTTATGGACTTTTTTAGACTTGAAATAATTAAGAAGTGCTGGGAAGGTAACAGCCTTTCCTGACCCAGTTTGATGTCATGTGGGAGCCTAGGAGAGAGGACTCACAAGACCACTACCAAAGGGTCAGGGCAGGGCCCATCACAGGCCCTGAATGAGGCCAGGGAGCAGGGTATGCCAACCTGGAAGGAATGAGTCTACCTTCTCTTCCTCAGGATCCTTCGGGGGTTGCTGGTTCTTGCTATATGTTTATTAATTTTTTAAAATGCACTGTGGCCAGCCTTGTTTTGCTTAATGCCTAATAAAGGGAAAACTGTTTACATAGCACCCCTGGGCCTGACACTGAGCAGCTGAGGTTAGCAAGATCCTTCAGTTTCAAAGATGACACAAGCCAGTGGCCTGGGAGGAAAACAATTCCTTTAGAAGCATGCCAGTCCCAGGTGAAAGGGGGAGCAGTTGAACATGACGTTAAATAAGACACAATCAGGGTAAGAAGGGATCAGGCTTGCGAGGCGGGGAGAGGCCAAGCCGCATACTTGGCTTCTGGGGTTGGTTGCATAATGTGCACAGGATAAACGGGCAAGGCAAGGCCTGACTCGTGTGCAGCTCTTACAGGCCAGCTCCGTTTCTATATATAAACTCCCTCCCAGTAACATTCTCCCCACAGGACATCAAAGGCGGCCCGAGCACGGCCAGTCTCGCTATGCTCCCAGGGTGACGTCTTCACGTCTGGCCTGCTTCTGCCTCCAAGTCTCACTCCCATTCCTCACATGGGTCAGAGTGCTAGATTTTTCCATCAAAGGTCTTGTCACCAGGGTCTGTTTACTGTCCAGTCTTAGCCCGCTGCTGACACTCTGTGGTTAATTTAATAGGCTTGGATTTTCGAACTGCAGACAAGATTGTCCCGCGCAGAGCCACGGTGACCTCACTGATAGGCCACGCAATTTGTATTGGGGACAGGTTCAGTCTCAGGCTGAAGCCACGAGCAAATGCTGACATTCACGACTGCTGAGTGCATGCTGTGTGCTAGGCACCACGTACAAGCTGTTTTATCTCGTTCCCTCTACTCCTCTTGTGTGCTAGGCACCATGTACAAGCTGTTTTATCTCGTTCCCTCTACTCCTCTCAGCTAGTGGAGGCAGGAAGCATCATAATCTCCATTTTGCAGAGGAGGAATGTGAGGCCAATTCATTTATCCAGCAGGTAAGCAGAGGAGCCAGGATTTGAACTCATAACCAGGGTATTGCACCGCGTCCTTTCTGGAGAAAGGACTTGCGAGAGCGCCACTGGAGGCCAAGTTCAGATCCACTCACTCTGGGAAGCAGCTGGTGGCTTCTTGACAGTCATGTAATAACAGGTCGTATCTGAGAATGGTCAGGTTTCCAGCTGTACATTCTATTAAATATCCAGCAACAGGGGCTGGTGCTGTGGCTAAGTGGGTAAAGCTGCTGCCTGCAGGGCCAGCATCTCATATGGGCGCTGGTTCATGTCCCAGATGCTATACTTCCAATCCAGCTCTTTGCTGTGTTCTGGGAAAGCAGTAGAGGATGGCCCAGGTCCTTGGGCCCCTGCACCGGCATGGAAGACCCAGAAGAAGCTCCTGGCTCCTGGCTTTGGATTGGTGCAGCTCAGGCTGTTGTGGCCAATTGGGGAGTGAACAAATGGATGGAAGAATTCTCTCTCTCTGCCTTTCTCTCTTTGTATAACTCTTTCAAATAAATAAATAAATCTTAAAAAAAAAAATGTCCAGCAATAGGTAGTATGTTTTAGTAGAAAGTTCATGAGATTTGGAGACAGAATGAGCTATGCTGAATTCTGGGTTTCTGATTAAAAAGCTACTTGGCCTTGGACAAACTACTCTGAGTCTACTTTCTCATCCACAAGAGGCCTAACACCTCACTTGTCTCTGGTCTGCTGTGAGGCTGTTATGAGATCATGGACATAAAGGATTGCTCTCTTCCTTTCCCTCCTTAGCCAGGACACCAAGGGGCAGGCAGGACCCCAGACCCCAACAAGGCTAGAAGCAGGTACTTGCTTCAAGTGGGCAGCTGCCATGGTCACAAAGCACCTGATCGTCAACGCTGGCTGGCTTTCTTCTGGTAAGCACCTTTAGATGGCCGGGCCCAGCCTGGGTGACTGACTCTTGAGAGACTGGATTACGGCTAAGGGCACACCCTCCGGGGAGCTCACCACTACAAGGCAGAACTCTCCTGGCCCCAGAGCTAAATGCTTCCAACCAATTTATTCTAACACATCACGTCCTCTGTGTTACTATTCAGTCAACTAAAGTCACTGTGAAGACTGTAGAAATGAAGGGAAAAGTTTGCCATAGCACTGCATGAAATAAAACCTATAATTGCAACCTTGTAAAACTGTATGACTATGGTTATTATGGGAGGAGAGGCAAAATGAAAATAATTGTAAGAGCTGGGGAACTATAAATTTCTTTTTATCATTATTCTTTAATATTCAATTATCTCTCAATTTACAAAGTGCGTGGTTTAAAGAAAATCTGACAACAAAGACGCAGACACTTAAGCAGTGTGGCCTCATTCTGCCTGCTGTGCTTTCAACAGTTCAGCTCAGGGGGCCTGGATCAACTTCCTTTGGCAGAAAGGATCACACCAGGTTGGAGGGAGGGGAATTTCACTTTAACAAAGCCCTGGACCACCAGGGTCGGGGGTGGCTTCCACACAGCAGGTACAGCTGGCTACCTCTTTCTGGGAGTACTTGCAGCAGAAGCAGCGAGCCAGCAAGATTTCTTCCCCTACAGCGCCCTCTTGTGGCAGATCTGCCAGTAGCACTGGCAGCCAAAGTCAGGCCATAGTGTCAGCAACACTGACAACCACTCACAAAGGTCAGAACTGAACAAAAAAGTGCCAGAATGAGTCACACGGCTCAGCTACATTTATGTCCTGTGGGGGAGGGTGAGTTAAGCGCCTCAGAAGAAGCAAGAGGCCAAGATCACATCCACTGGGAGCAGTTACCATCTTCAGACTGAGAGCCTTGCCAGGCCGTGGGCACAGCTCAACGTGGCTCTTCAAAGAGGTACTCCAAATCCGGGGCACGCAGCCTCTGCTCCTTGTTTTTGTTTTTAGCAAAGTCTCTCAGCAGTGCCATGACTTCATTTTCAAATATTTCTGGGGCCGGTTTTGCTTCTGCAAGAGAAAAGTAGACAGAAAGAATTATGCCACAGTCAGTGCTCAGATACAAGGATCTTAAAACTTTCTTGAAACTGTCCTTGGCCAAGAACCACAGATGGCTATCCAGACTGCAGACTGTATCCATTCTTTCTCAAGATGTACAGCATACATGACGTCAGCCTGTAGGCCAACAGCTGCTCCCATGCCGTGTTTATAGAGAACGGCTGCTTTTATTTTTTATTTATTTTATTTTATTATTATTTTTTTTTTTTTGACAGGCAGAGTGGACAGTGAGAGAGAGAGACAGAGAGAAAGGTCTTCCTTTGCCGTTGGTTCACCCTCCAATGGCCGCCACAGCTGGCGTACTGCGGCCGGTGCACCGCGCTGATCCGATGGCAGGAGCCAGGAGCCAGGTGCTTTTCCTGGTCTCCCATGGGGTGCAGGGCCCAAGCACCTGGGCCATCCTCCACTGCACTCCCTGGCCACAGCAGAGAGCTGGCCTGGAAGAGGGGCAACCGGGACAGAATCCGGCGCCCCAACCGGGACTAGAACCCGGTGTGCCGGCGCCGCTAGGCGGATGATTAGCCTAGTGAGCCGCGGCGCCGGCGAGAACGGCTGCTTTTGAGTTAGGGCAGCAGAGCTAAGTCACTGGGGCAGTGACCATATGGCTGCAAGACTGAGTATTTATTGCCCAGTACTTTTCTTTTTAAAGATTTATTTTTATTTATTTGATAGACAGTTACAAACAGAGGTAGAAACAGAGAGAAAGAGAGGTCTTCCACCCACTGGTTCACTCCCCAGATGGCAACAACAGCCAGAGCTGAGCTTAATTCAGAAGCCAGGAGCTTCTTCCAGGTCTCCCACGTGGGTTCAGCAGCCAAGGACTTGGGCCATCTTCTACTGCTTTCCCAGGCCACAGCAGAGAGCTGGATTGGAAGAGGAGCAGCTGGGACTCGAATTGGCGCCCATATGGGATGCAGGTGACAGCTTTACCCGCTACACCACAGCACTGGCCCCTTGTCTGGTACTTTACTTTGTGAACATTCTAGCAGACCCCTGGTCTACATAGTTTTGGCTATACCACCGTGCTTTGCATCTGGCATTTCAGTTTCTCCAAGTACTATGTCTCCCTCTCTAATCTGCACATTTCCTGAGACAAAAGCTTCTACTTTATCAGTTAGAGGTCCTTGGTTAGAAGTGACAGAAACTTCAGACATTTGTAAACTTAAGCAAAAAGGAATTTTCTGGAATGCTATTTGAGGCACTGTAACAAAACGGAGAACCAGATTTAAGCAGACAGGCAACCCAGGCACTGGCAGCAGAGCAATGAGAACGCCAGCACACTCTCGCAGTCTCTCAGCAGTGCTGCTCACCCCAGCCGTTTCTTCACAGCATTCCAGCAGTGCTCCTCACCCCAGCCGTTTCTTCCACCCTTAAGACACTTGCTTAAGGGGCCCACATTGTGGCGTAGTGGGTAAAACTCCTGCCTGCAATGCTGGCATCCCATATGGGTGCTGGTTCATGTCCCATCTGCTCCATTTCTGATCCAGCTCCTCGCTAATGGCCTGGGAAAAGCAGTGGTCCAAGTGGTTGGGCCTCTGATACCCATGTGAGAGATATGGATGAAGCTCCTGGCTGCTGGCTTTTGCCTGGCCCTGCCCTAGCCTTTGCCGCCATCTGGGGAGTGAAGCAGTGGATGGAAGATCTTTCTCTGTCTCTCCCAATCTCTTCAAATAAATAAATCTTTAAAAAAAAAAAAAAAAAAAAAAAAAAAGGGCTGGTGCTGTGGCTCAGCAGGTTAAAGCCCTAGCCCGAAGTGCCAGTGTCCCATGTGGTGCAAGTTCCAGTCCTGGATGCTTCACTTTTGATCCAGCTCCCTGCTGACGCGCTGAGAAGTTAGCAGAGGATGGCCCAAGTGCTTGGGCCCCTGCACCCATGTGGGAGATCTGGAGGAAGCTCCTGGCTCTGGCCTGGCTATTGCAGCCATTTGGGGAAAGAACCAGTGGATGGAAGATCTCTCTTTTTCTCTGTCTCTCCTCTCTCTCTCTAACTCTGCCTTACAAGTTAAAAAAAAAAAAAAAAAAAAGACACTTACTTAAGTTATAATTAGAAGCAATGCCTCTCACATGCAAAACTTAGGTAAGGCACTCCAAAATTATCAATACAAGGATACTTGAAAAAGTTTGTAAAAAATAGTGGGATTAGCCGGCGCTGCGGCTCAACAAGCTAATCCTCTGCCTGTGGCGCCGGCACACCAGGTTCTAGTCCTGGTCGGGGTGCCGGATTCTGTCCTGGTTGCTCCTCTTCCAGTCCAGCTCTCTGCTGTGGCCAGGGAGTGCAGTGGAGGATGGCCCAGGTGCTTGGGCCCTGCACCCACATGGGAGACCGGGAGAGGCATCTGGCTCCTGATCGGCATGGTGCGCCAGCCGCAGTGGCCATTGCGGGGTGCACCAACAGACACTTTCTGTCTCTCTCTCTCACTGTCCACTCTGCCTGTCAAAAAAAAAAAGTGGGATTAAGGGGCTGGCACTGAGGCATAGTGGGTAAAAACCACTGCTTGTGGCACCGGCATCCCATATGGGCGCCAGTCCAAGTCCTGGCTGCTCCACTTCCTATCCAGCTCCCTGCTGGTGCATCTGGGAAAGCAGTGAAGATGGCCCAAGTACTTGAGCCCCTGCACTCACATGGGAGACCCAGAGGAAGCTCCTCACTCCTGGCTCTGGGTGGGCCCAGCTCTGGCTGTTGCAGCCATTTGGGGAGTGAACTAGCAGATGGGAGATCCTCTCTGTCTCCCACCCTCCTTCCCATAACTCTTAAATAAATAACTCTTTTTTAAAAAATGAACTAAAAGGTAAGTTCAAGGGCTGGATGTTTGCAGAGTGGTTAAAATGCCACTTGTGGGGGTGAGGGTCAGTGTTGTGTCACAGCAGGTGAAGCCACAGCATTTGTGCTGGCATCCTGTATCAGGATGCTGGTTTGAGTCCTGGCTACTCAGCTTCCAATCTAGCTCCCTGCTAATGTGCCTGGGAAGGCAGTAGAGGACGGCCCAAGTACTTGGGCCCCTGACTCCCACATGGGAGATGAGGATGGGCTTTCTGGTTCTTGGCTTTGGCCTAGCCCAGAGCTGGCTGTTGCAGCCAACTGGGGTCTAAAGCAGTAGATGGAAGCGCTTTCTCTGTGTCTCTGTCTATCTCTTTCTTTTGCTTTACCTTTCAAAAAAATAAAGTTATGCAAAAAAAAAAAAAAAAAAAAAAAGATAGCACTTGGGACACCTGCATCCCACATTGGAGAACCTGGGTTAGAGTCCCAGCTCCACTGCCAACCCCAGCTTCCTGCTAATGTGCACCCTGGGAGACATTAGGTGATGGTTCAAGCAGCTGAGCCCCTGCCACACAGTCTGGAGACCCAGACTGAATTCCTAGCTCCTGACTTAAACCTGGCCCAGCCCCAGCTGTTGTAGGCATTTGGAGAGTGAATGGAAGATCTCTGTCACTCTGCCTTTCAAATACATAATTGTTTTAAAGTAAGTTTATTTTGATGCAAACAAATTTTGAAATCTATGCACAGTTTTTTTCATAATATGCATTTTCATGAACTTTTTGAAGACCCCTGCTATGCATGGATTCAAACTTTTTTTGCACCAAAATAAATTTTACCTTTTAATTTCAGTTTCTACATACAGCTTTGTGTAAAATGCTAGGAGAGGGAATTCCTCAAAACCAAGCCCAATTCCCTTTCAGCATGGGACCAGGCATTCAGTGAGTGTTCTGGTTTTTTGTGATGCTCAAAATAAAATCAAGATTGGGGCCTCCCTCGAGGATACAGAAAGTTGGAAAGAAGACTGCACCGATCTGGGCAACACGAAAAAGCCAGAAAAGCTACCGATACACCTTCTCTTGAAGTTATCCAAGACAGCACAAACAATCCAAGAGGCCCTCACGGGAGAAGCTGACATGAGGACTTGTTCTCTGTAACAGGCACAGGAAGAGGATACCAGGCACCACACAAACTGCTAAGAAAAATTCAGCTGAAGTTTGTAATGAACTGTTAAATGCCAAGTGTGATTTTGTCTAAGAATAAAACCCCTGGGAACCGCAAATACAAGTGCAGCTGACAGGTTCTTCTCAACAAACCTCCATTGTGTGTGCTCCAACAAAGACTGGGCACAGAGCAGGCAGCTGGCGACCTCCTCCTGCAGGATGCAGGCCAAGAGCAGGGGAGCAGTCAAAACGGGGAAAAAAGCCTAACGCTCAGTTGGACCCTCTCCTCTACAGAACGGAAGCCTCCACTGACCAGGAGACCCTGTCTCACAGCGCACAGGTGAGTGACCATGCGTGCTGATGGAAGGGCAAAAGAAAAACAAAATCCTACCCTGGGGGAGGGGCAGGATCACTGAGCATTCCCAGGTCCCAAGCACAGGGTCTCAGGGACTGCCTGAGACTAAGGCTGGAAAAAGCTAATGGAGAACATCCTCCAAGCTCGTCTCTCCTAAACTAAGGGGCAGCAAGCAGAAAGCAACAGGATCTACTGTTGGGGGAGGTGAGAGCAGGGGCACACATTGCCTCTGAGGCTGAAAGCTGAGGGCAGAACAGGAACACCGAGAAACAATCTCTAAATAGCCTCCACTCAAGCACACCGAGGCTAATGATGCCCTGAAGGTAACCAAGGTAAAGACAAAAGCCAAACTGCGGGCTGGGCAGTCTGCACAGGATCAAGATACGGCTGGGCACATCTGGATCTCATACGGGAGTGCCTGGGTCTCAGTCCAGCTCTGCTCCCAATTCTAGCTTCCTGAAAACGTGAACCCCGGGAGATAGTGGATGGATGGCTCACGCACTTGGGTTCCTATCACCCACGTGGGAGACTCATATTGAGTTCCCAACCCCCAGCTTCAGCCAGGCCCAGCCCCAATCGCTGTGGGCATTTGGGGGAGTGAAGCAGTGGACTGAAAGAACTGTCTCTCTCTGCCTCGCAAATAAATAAATAAAAATTAAAATCTAACCCGGCTTCATTCC